AAGTGCAACAGTCAGCAACCAGCCATCACCATGAGCTTTGACCCCATGATCGCTGCCTAATATTGGAAGGGCAAAGATTTACATGTGCTTACAGTTTATTCCCAAGGAAAGGAGTGGAGATATATGAGTAGCAATGAAGGGAATGATAGTATAGTTCTTAAGATGAACAAATTGTGTTTATTAAATCATCTCAACAACTGAAGCAATTCTAGAAAAGAGTAGTTAGAGAGGGATGAGGAAAGCATAATATTCACTCGTCCTATATGTGTGTCTATCAATAAATACATATGTAATACTTTTTTTGGATAAAGAGAAATAATTACCACGTTTTCTCCAGGCCTGCAAAAAACGTTGACCTACTTTGAAGATATTCCTCCCCTGAAGAATCAAAAGAGCACAAAATATAACCTCCCCAACTGAATCTGGAAGATCAATACCAAAATATTCAAGCCCTCCATGCACCATTTTACTGGGCTTGACTAAACCAAGGTGTGCAATGCCATACACTGCAACAGTAAATGAGAATATGAATGCAAAGCTCCCAAGGAAGCGGGAAACCAGCTTCCAATTGGATTGTTCATGAGTCTGCAGTGAAGCTAGAATCTTGTCTTTGCTCGATTTAGCATCATCTGTCTCAGCTACTTTGATTTTCTTGGAAAGCACTTCAGTAAACTGTGCATATCCTTCTCTGAGGCCTTGCCTTGTCCCATTCTCAATCATTCCTTTCAGCATTGTGCTCTGAACAAAGTTCAGGCGCCAACTTATAGTCAGCTGTGAGGTTTGTTCTTCAGATGGCAATGTGGTACCTGGTATTATACAGTACAATATCTCCACCTTGAAACAATTACCACAGGGAACTTCAGGAGTACTAACACTAGAAAGCACAGCAAACGAATTTCCAGCTGCCTTCAAGTATGACTGCTTTTCTGTAGCTTTTACAGCCTTGACTAATTTGCTTGCAGCTTTTGTGTAAGTTAATGTCCTTTTCACAGAATTTTCGTTATTCTCATATTTCCAGGGATCAATTTGAAACCCACTTAGCCCTTGAACTTCTGCAACTGCTGGCCAGAAATCTGAATTCGCTGAAAACAGCATGGCATTCAATTCAGCTGGTTTAATAATGTAAGATTGCTCCAGTAGAACGCCACCAGGTAAGTTTCCTGGCATTCCACCACCTTGATCCTTAGACTCCATAGTTTTCAGTAGTTCATCAAGATTAACTTCGGGCATGCCGTTCTTGCCATTTTCAGAGGATCCAGCTATTTCTGTTTCTTGAAACTGATCTATGGGCTCGGGGTCTGATGTTAGAGAAGGTCCAGTATCAGCAGCTTTACGGAAGTATCGAGCCAAGACCTCCACTACTGATGATGCATTGCCGGTAGCATCGCCGTCATCCTCTTCAGGCTCCAGAATAACTGCTTGCTGTGTGGTGCCACAAGGTAGGCTGCTCGGGACCTTTTGGTCCGTGTTGCTTTGGGTCAGCTGATCCACACCACTACGGTAGAATGCACGGTCCATGCTAGCGCAGGCTGATTGATCCAGGCTGCTAGTAACTGCTGATAAGGACGACTCGTTAGTTTCAATTGACCTAGTTGAGCTGCACGGCGTATCGTTGATAAGTTGCATCAGAATGTTTTGCGACTCATTGCAGTGGCCTTCCCTAACCGATAGGTATATCTTCAGGCAAATTTCACCTGCAAAATTAAATTAAATAGTGGGCAATGCTTACTTTTAGCCTTTAGGTTCAGCTACATTATAGTATAACTTACCAGCGATTTTCAGCTGACCTTATCATAAAGCATTTTGTGGAATTGCAGCTAATACTTGTGAATGTATAAAGTGAGCTAGTTCTTGGCCCGATGCAAAGTCACTAGATTGAGACTCCTATCTAGTGGTTCATGTAATAGGACAGGTGTTTAGTTTCCTATCTGTTGTTTTGCTTGCTGGTTGTGGCTGTCCTGTTTTTTTGCTTTCGTGCACTTTTTGAGCATTTGTTCCTTTTTGTTTGAGACTTCGAGACCTATGTTGGACCTTTTGATTATCAATAATATGCCGTATGCATCTTTCTGATGCAGAGGCCGGGGCAAACCCCCTTTTCGAAAAAAAAAAACTAGATTGAGACTCCTCAAAATTCCATGAACATGTACATATACCTTAGCAAACTTCTCGGAGAAATTTCCTACTTCTAAAACCTCTGACACCCAATTTGAACAACACATGGGGATGGGGCACTGGGGCACTCCCTTTCACCCACATATAAACAGGACAGGACGCTCAATTCGGTAGGTAGCTTAATTATTAGTACATTTCATTATCCTGACTACATTTCAGGCTTGCAATCTCATCTTCAGTAAAGCATCTATTTCGTAAACATAAAAAGCAATCAAACATGGCGGGCATGCGAAATGCGAGGAGGAATGAAGGTTATACCCACTTACCGCGTTTTTTGCTCCTGAACTTGCTGCTCTTGGGCTGGAGCTGGTACCAGGCGGTGCCGAGCGAGTGGTCCTCCGTCTCCAGGATGGCGGAGAGCGGCACCTTGACCCGGCCGAGGAAGTCGGTGCTGAAGAACTTGTTCTCGTTGAGCACGGAGACGACGAGCTCCTCGGCGACGTCCGCGACGAGGAAGCCGAACTCCTCGTCCCAGACGGGGCTGAGGCTCCGCTTGACCACCGTCGTCTTGGCCCGCCGCCTCCCGAGCTGCAGGCGCACGTAGGGGTCGCTGGAGCCGTTGAGGTAGATGGCCGGGAGCCCCCGCGCCTCCAGCACGTGCACGCACAGCCGCAATGGCGCGCTCCGCTGGGCCGGCTCCGGGCGCGCCACCGCGCCCATCGCGACCTTGGGGGAGGGGAAGGGGGAGGCGGGAGAGCAATGGCGGACGGCGACCTCGCTGCTTCGCCCCGTCCAATTGGGGATTTGGATGAGAGAGAAGGAGAAGGGGGGAAGGGGGGGACAGAGGATTGCCCGCGACCGTTTGAATTGGAGAGGCGTTTGTCTCGTGGCGCTTTGGGGCCCTCGAGATTCGTGTGGGATGAGGTGGAGGGGTTTGGGACCGTTGGATCTGCGGGGCGGTTCATGGCTTTCACCAAACACGTTGCAGGTGCTCCGAGCTATGTGGGCTGCCTCAGGTTAAGGATAACCCTTTTTCAGGAACGGGTTAAGGATAACCTGATAAGTGCCTAATTCGGATAAAACTATTTTCTTTGCAAGAAGGACAAGCTATATATACATATTAAAATTTTCTAAGAACATTCTTAAAAAGTACGTACTACCTAAATTGAACCGTTAAAAACGTCTTACATTTAGGAACAAATAGAGTGGTGTCAATGTTGTCTTTCTCCTGCACTCCTTGATGACGCACCTGAGCAAAGTTCAATACGGCCTCTAGAACTTTGGAACACTCTTGGAGCCAGGGTACCTTTGTTGACAAAACGACCATGAAGTTGGTGGGAGTCAGTAGAAGCTGGCGACAACGAACCAAGGATCAAATCATGTCTCCGAGCTTAAGGGGGGCTAGAGAACCATCCCATACCCGGTCAGACAGAATCGGGAAGGTCTTACCTCACTAGCTTCCCGACAAAGCTGAACGTGCTTTACCGGACAGGGAAGAACCAAAAAGACCAAAATATGAACCGCAATTGTTTGCTAGAGCGAACAGTGCCATCCAATTTCACCTAGATGAAACATTAAAGAAAACATAGCCCAAGATTTAACGGGGCCTAAGATCTAGCCCTGACCAAAGCTCGACACGCCTTCTGTTGATACCAGTCGATATCTCTGGAACGAAATCTTACTCCACGACACCGATGACAACATCGCCTCATCACCACCAGCTAGACACCTAGCTTGTGGCCAAAAGCTAGGGCGCCTGCCTTAAAAAAAAGCGACCCAAACACGGTCAGCCCCAAACTAGGGACGACA